ACCCATAATAAACAAAATTTAACATAACTTTTTTTAAAAAAATCTTAATATTTTTCTCATTACATTGCATCGAAGAAATAAAGTAACAATTAATATAAAACCTTATATGAAAATTAAAAAATGAAACTTTTTTATCGATGAGAAGATTATTTTTTAAAATATATACATTTAATTTATGTATATTTATTCACAAAATAATAAATAATATATTTATTCATAAAATAATGAATAATATTAGTATACAAAATTGTATTTCAATTATTAAACGGTTATTCTAAAGTATTATTTCAATTATTTTATTTAAACAAATTATTTTAAATATTAAAAAATAATAGCAAATAGTTGGTATTACGTGTGTAGATGTATAGTTGATTTCTAATAAAATTAATGACTCTAATTTTATTATTTTTGATATATCATGACCGTACTCAATATGTGAGAATGTATAAAATAAATTAAAAAATATTTTAAAAAATTATTGGTAAAATATATATTGAAGTTAATGGAGTGCAGTAAAAACTATAAAATTGATTTCAATAAAATTTGATTATGTAAAAAATAAAAAAATAAAATACATATATTCAGTTTTTAAAATTTGATTATATAAGAATCAAGTAAATAAAAATAGGTATTTAAAAAACTTATTTGAATCCATACATAGAGAAAATAAGTCATATTTATTAATAAATAAAATTATAAAAAATAAGAATAAAAATTAATTTGATGAGAATTTTAATAAAAAAAAATCAATTTTATACAATAAGAATAGTTTATATTTATTCTAAAATCTAAAAACATATCGTATAATGTAAAAAATATTGTATATACTATATAATCGTTAGTTTATGTGGAAAAAAAAGTAACGATTGATTTTTTAAAATTTTAACAGACTAATTAAATAAAAAAAGAACATAAATTGATGAAAATAATAGCAAAGAAAAAAAGGCATGAGTAGTGTTATATAATCGTTAGTTTGCGTGAAAAAAAGCAACGATTGATTTTTTAAAATTTTAACACCTAATTAAATAAAAAAACATAAATTGATGAAAAAAAGCAAATGAGAAAAGAAGGCATGAGTAGTGCATCGGTTAGAGGATTAAAATTTTTATTTTAAAATTTTAAAGACTAAAATGAAATAACTTGAAAATTAAAGAAAAAATTAAATTAAAAAAAGAACCTAAATTGATAGAAAAAAGCGAAGGGGAAAACTAAAAAGAAAAGGCATGTATATTGAAAGAACTTGAAAAAAAATATTGTAATAAAATCTAAAAACATATCGTATAAATGTAAAAATGATCCTATATATTATATAATCGTTAGTTTGTATGAAAAAATAATGTTTGATTTTTTAAAATTTTAACACCTAATTAAGTAAAAAAAGAACATAAATTGATGGAAAAAAGAAAAGAAAAGGAATGAGTAGTGCATCAAATAGAAGATTAAAATTTGTATTTTAAAATTTTAGAGACGAAAATGAAATAATCTGAAAATTTTAAAATAATTAAATAAAAAAAGAACCAAAGAGATCAAAATGAAACAATTTGAATTTTTTTTAAATTAAATAAAAAAAGAGCCTAATGTGATGGAAAAAAACAAAGGAAAAAAAAAGATATGTAGTCGGAACAACTTGAAACAAAAAAAAGAAAGGAAAAAAAAGCAAAAGTGAACAGTATAAAAAAAAAGAGGTGAACTTGAAACAAAAGAAAGAAAAAAAATAAAAAAGTGAAAGTAATCAAAGCTAAAAAGGAAAAAAAAAATAAATAGAATTATGAACAGTTACAACCTCATGTTTTTTAGATATATAGTAATGTGAAATATATATATTGAGGATGTTGGGCTGGTATGGGCCTAAGAGAACCCTAGAAATAAAGGCCCAACAATTAAAATGGGTAATATGTCGAGAAGGGCTTCCAAAATCCCCTATGTCTTATGACACAATAATTTTGGGTTCCTTGAAGGTTTCAAGAAAACTACCATTGTGGGTTTTGTTTGTCTCCAGCGTTTGACCAAAAAACGGATAATTAAAAGCTAACAAGTTTCAACAAGTCAAAAATATTGCAGGATAATTCTTTTTTTTTTTTTTTTGGGTCAATGTAACGCTTTCAGTATTATTAATTAATTAATAATAGTTTTGGGAGTTTTTTTTTTTTTAATTAAGTTCTTAGTAGTGTAACAATAGAATCCTGTGTTTGGTTTTGTTTTGTTTTATATAATACGAGCAATAGGATACTTCATAATAGTTCCATAAAAAAAAAAAAAAAAGATACAAATTTACGAGGCAACTTAATTTTAGTTTTTAGTCATAATTATTTTATTGGTCCAAAGAGAATAAGGAAGAAGAAAAAGAGTCACTTTCCTAGATTAGAAATTTAAGTGGGGCAAGAGTGAGAAATCAAAAGGCAAGAAACCAGCGTTCCCGCCATGAAAAAGGCAATAATATCACATCATCACCCACGATGGCCTCACTTCCTCTTTAGGAGTTAAGGCGTATTTGGTCCCTGTAGTGGTCAAATTTGATATGACCCATCCCTATACATTTATTTTACTTTATAAAATTCTTCTACTCGAATTTCATCACAAACACAATCCCACTATTACTTTGAGATCACATGCTGTTAACTTATTTGGTTTTAATGAGTTAGATTATGCCAGATATACCATATGATAAATCATTAATGAAATAGAACAAATAATAATAATAATAAAAAAAGTCAAGACCATCTTTATTGATGAAGAAGGAAAAAAATTAACCACATTTTTTTAATAGTCAAATTCAAAAGAATGAGATTTGAGGTTTTATTCAGTTTGAAGGAAATGAAAAACGAACATGGGTTATTTAATTGGAGAAAAGGTTGATATGCTTCATTTTATTTTCAAATATTTGAAAACCAGATCCATAAATTAAGATTTAGTTAAGAGATTTGATTTTAGTGGTAGAATAAAATTTAACATGGATTTTATTGTTAGTTGCTACAACTTGTATATTTGAAAGAAAATTTTTTAACATGGTTTAATAAGCATTAGAAATTAAAAATATGATAACATGTTTTTTTTTTAAAAAATTCCATCAATTCTTTAAAATATATTTAATTTTTTCTTTCAATTTATTATATTGGTTTTTGAAATTTAGAAGTAATGGATAAATATATATTTCATTATTTCTCTTAATTTTAAATTTATCTCTTTTTTTTTCAATAGTAAAGGTGTTTTCAGGCTAGCTTTCGGAAAGTTCAAGACAATTTTCTTTTTAAACATAGTTAAAAGATACTTCTAACGTATAACTTCGGATATTTTAAAAATAAATTCTATATTAATGTTTTTTCTCTTAAACTTTACACGTGGCATCATTTAAGCCACTAAATTTCAATAAGTTAATAGTTTTTAATTTTCTCTTTAAAGAATTTTTTTTAATTAATCAAGTTACAATTTTATGGACCGCATTAGGCATAGCAAGGACATTCGTGATAGAGTCGAAATAGAGGGACCCATGAAACCTAAATAAAAGTGAAGTAATGGTTTGAACCAAGCTTAGAAAGTACAAGGACCGACTTGTATTTATTTACTCCTTTCGCTCTCCTCCTAATTACCATAACGAGACCAGTCCTAACAAGTTACGTCCTCCAAACAAGGAAGAACATCAACAAGAAAGGACGATCTCTCTCCTTCCCTCTCTCTATACCTTTCTCTTTGGCACCACTCTCAAAACCCTAATCTCCAATCCCCAGCTTACTCCATATTAACAAAGTTTTTTTTTTCTTTTTCATCAACAAGCAGCCGTCCGAGAGGTAACTTCTCCTATCCTCTCCCACTTTCACTCACAGTTTCTGAGAAATGGAAGGAAGGACGGACACAAACAAAACTTTCATGGTTTTTTTTTTTTTTTTTGGGTATTTTATAAGCAACCCAGAAAATTATATATATATATATTTAAAGTTGTTTGGTTCATGAAGAACAACACTGTTGGATCTGTTGGGTTTTAAGCAATTTGCTTACTTTTTCAAAGGGTTTTTTCTTCTTTATTTAGTTCTGTGATCAGTTCAACTGCTGAATGTTTGGCTGCTGAGAAAGCTGTGAAATTTATCTTCACTTCAATTTACTTGTTGTGTTTAGCTAAAGCATTTTGAGATCCCATGAAAGAAAAAGGAATGTTTTTCTCAATCATTCTCAAGTTACTAGTTTTCAACTCTTAAAAAGATAAAATAGATAGAAGCATCGTGAAATTCATTAAACCAAGTGATTACAATTGAGAGCTATTTAATTGAATAGCTGTTCGAAATAAGGTATCAGCAGGTCGAAGGGTTTTGCATTAGTTTCCTTTTAGGAGTTATTATAAATAGAGAGGCCGACCTTTTATGTCTATCGTTTGTGTGTGAAAGAAAAACCAAATCTTTTTAGCTGCGTTGAGAGTAGCTTGTGCCCAAAAGAAATAAAAGGTCAGTGTGTGTGAAAAACCAAAGGCATAAATTACCATGTGTGTTGAGATCGGCGGCTTGTGTCTGTCTAGAGTACGAAACAAAAGACCGTGGCAGCTTGTTGTTTGAAGTGTTTCCCTTAAATTGATTTAATCAATTTATTAGCTCATCAAGTCTAATAAATCAGCTAATGATAATGTAGGAATAAAATAGCCAAACACCAAACACTTCTCTTTATTAATGCTGCTGTGGTAGGCTCAATCCTGCTGCTTCTATATGTAGTTTTTTTTTCGATAATAGGTGGTTAGAACTATGGATAGGTTTCTACTGATGTACTATGGATGTGAAAGTAGTGTTTTTATTTATTTATTTATTTATTTTATTATTATTATTCTTCTTCTGCTTCGTTTGGTTGCATTTTTTAGCCTACCAATTCTTGTTTTTCTTTGTCTTCCATTTCCATCCACGAATTAGTTATAGGAAAACAGTTGTTATAGATTTGTGTTTGTGAGTTAGGTTTTAGAAAGGATAACACAAATCATAACCTCTTTGTATTCTTGTCTTTGACAATGGAAAAAATAAATAGCAATGGAAGCAACTCTTGAGCAACTAGAGCGCAAGAAAAAGAAGGAAGAGAAGGTTCTTTCTCGTTCAAATTAAATTTCTGCTAAATTTATTTTATTTCGTACTCTGTATTCTTAATTCTCATTTATTTGATTTATTGCAGGCTCGAGAAAAAGAACTGAAAAAACTTAAAGCTGCACAAAAAGAAGCTAAATTTAAGGTACTTGCTTGACTTAATATTTTTTTTTCGTGCTAGGAATTGACCGAATTTGAAATGTTTAAGTTGTGTGTGTCTGTGTTTTCCTTTTCTTTTTAATCACAGGTACATCTCCAATCCAAGAAAAAATCAAGGCAAGATGAGGAGGAGAAGGTGGGCGAGGAGGAAATTTTTAGAGATCCACCAACTCCTTCTGGACAAAAGAAAATACTTTCTGCTCTTATGCCAAAAAACTACAATCCCTCCAGTGTAGAGAAATGGTAAGTGTCAGCTGACCTTATTTAAAAATTCAGTTATGAATTATAAATATCCTTTTCCTTTTTTTTTTTTTTTATTTCACGGATTTTTTCAGTTGGTACGATTGGTGGGAGGCTTCAGGGTTTTTTGTGGCCAATGCCAGCAGTTCTAAGCCCCCATTTGTTATAGTAAGTTTTCCATTTCTAGAATACTGCTGCTTTAATGTCTATTACATAAAGTTTAATCTTCTTGTAGCTTTGAACATCATTTTTCTTTTTGTGTTTTTTAATGTTTGATTTTGTCATTATTTGGTCTGTAGTTGCTTCCCCCACCAAATGTGACCGGGAACCTACATTTAGGGCATGCCCTCACAGCAGCCATTCAGGTGTGGTAACATTTTTTTTCCGTACCTCTTTTTCGTCGTTCCCTTTGCTAGTTTAATTACCTGGTATGTGTTGTTAAACTATGTTTCTTGTTGAGTAGGATACAATGATCCGTTGGAAGAGAATGTCTGGATTTAATGCCTTATGGGTGCCTGGTCTTGACCATGCTGGAATTGCGACACAGGTCGTTCTCTTTTTTACTTTTTAAATTTCCAGTTTGCTTCTCTAGATCTTTGAGCCTGTGCATCCATCTTCTTGGCATTTGGGCCGCAACCTATCCGTATTATATATGAACTATGAATCTTACATACAAAATGTTTTAGTATTTGCTTAATTTTTGGTGTGAGCTTGCTGCTTTGCAGTCAATTGATTATATAATCTTCACACACACATGATATTTCCACACAAACATCTGAATTTTCAAATTATATGAGCTCACAAGGATGTTTGTATGTAAATTGGCAGGTCGTAGTAGAGAAGAAGTTAATGCATGAGAGTCACTTAACAAGGCACGATCTAGGTCGTGAAAAATTTGTATCTGAAGTGAGTTTTGAGTTGTTATAAGTAGGAAATTTCATTGAACTTATTGGTTGTTTTCTTGTCTTTTTCTATCAAATTTACCACCTGTCATGATCCTCAACTTGTTTTGATTCTGATGTAAAGGTTTGGAAGTGGAAGCACGAGCATGGAGGTAACATATTAAAACAGCTTCGCCGGTTGGGTGCATCCCTCGACTGGTCCCGTGAGGTAAAAATTATAAGTTCCACTCTTTGATTATAATCCATGAATTCATTCACTTTGTTTATTCTGTTAACTGATATAGACTTTTGATAGATGTTTTCTTTGCTAATGTTAACTTGTTCTCTCTCTTATTCTTTTCTAGTGTTTTACAATGGATGAACAAAGATCAAAGGCTGTAATAGAGGAATTTGTTCGGCTATACAAGGAAGGTCTGATATATAGGTATCTATTTTTACAATTAGAAATTTTGATTGTGACATTCATTGCCAGCATTATAAATGTGATCCACCTGATCGCATGATGTGTACTCCAGTCTGCGTTGTGTAACCAACCATGAATTTGGTTGGATGGTTACCACACCTTAAATTTGTCATAACGTGTTTGTGGTCAGAGGTTGAACTTTTCTTTGTGTTTCGTGCCCAACTATATGGACTTTGTCCAATTTGTTACGATGAGGTTTGGCTCGTGCATGGTGATTGGGAAGGATTGCTACCTTCAAAGTGAATGTTATGGATTTCATAGTCAGTCTAATTTGCTTCCAAGTTTTAATTCCTCAAAAAAATTCTTTTGATCATTACAAATTTGAGTCAGAAAATGCATCTGTCATGGTTAGGTGGCTATTTTACATATTTAGCTAATAGAAGTGTTCATTTATTTTACTGCTTATTATACTGAAATTTTTGTTCTGTTTATTTTTTCTTCATTATGATGGGAGTTTTTCGTAGGGGGTTTATAATGACTTCTTTCACAGGGATCTCCGGCTAGTAAACTGGGACTGCACCTTACGAACTGCTATATCTGATGATGAGGTAAGTTTCTTGAACTGGTGGTATTGTTTTTGGATTATGTTCTAGTTACCTAAATTTTCTTGCTGTTTTCAGGTAGATAAAATTGATATCAAAGAGAGGAAATTTCTAAATATTCCTGGTTATAACAAACAAGTGGAATTTGGTGTTTTGACCTCATTTGCCTACCCTCTTGAGGGAGGGCTTGGTGAAATTCTTGTTTCCACTACTAGGGTGGAAACAATTCTTGGTGATACAGCTATTGCTGTACATCCAGATGATGAGAGGTACGGTCATTTGCATGGAAAATTCGCTATTCATCCATTCAATGGGAGAAAACTTCCAATAATCTGTGATGCCATTCTTGTTGATCCAGGTTTTGGGACAGGTGCTGTTAAGGTAAGAAATTCTGGAACTTGAGATGAAGTTGATTTTTTCTTCCCCCTAAATCTCTTGATGGTATGTAACATACTGTAAGTATGCTCTGATGTTTTGCAGATCACTCCTGCCCATGATCCGGAGGATTTTAAGGCTGGGAAACGTCACAATCTTGAATTTATTGATATCTTTACTGATGATGGAAAGATAAATGACAATGGTGGTGCAGAGTTCTCAGGGATGCCACGTTTCCAGGCACGTGAGGCAGTGAAGGAAGCGCTAAAGAAAAAAGTATGATCATTTCATCTTATAATAGTCTCAATTCTATCAAACTTGCACAATTTTTAAAGTTCCTAGTGATATTACATGATGGATTCGCTAAATGAAAAAAATTGTATTCTCTCTTTTCAAAAGCTCAAGCACTTTCACCCCCACTGGTTCTTTTGCTCCACTTCTTGTCCAGTAGAGCTTAAGAATGCATTTCTGCATTTTTTTCCCTGTTGTTACATTTAACTGTGTATAATCCAGCATTATTCCTTGTTTCTCGTGTCTTTGGTACTAAGGTATTTACTTCATCATATTTCTTACTTGTAGGGATTGTATAGAGGTGCTGAAAACAATGAGATGCGACTTGGCCTTTGTTCGAGAAGCAATGATGTTGTGGAGCCAATGCTAAAGCCCCAGTGGTTTGTTAACTGTAATGATTTGGCAAAGAAAGCTCTTAAAGCGGCAACAGTTGGAGAAAATCCAACGCTTGAATTCATACCGAAGCAATTTTTGGCTGAATGGAAAAGGTTGTCTCATGCCTTTGTATTTGTTTTTCATCAGTTAATTGAGAGACAGAAGATACATTCTGGAAAAGTAACAATAAAAATGAAAATAAGAGGAAGAAAGAATAAAGAAAAGAAAAGAAACATGAAACGAGCACATGATCATGTACTTTGCTTTTGTTGATTAGAGTTTCTGCATGTTGTCTTATGACTAGTGTCGGATGTGCTTCTTGGACAATGTTATCATATGATTTTTCATGTTGTTATTGGTTCAGTCTCTTGCCATAGCTCTTGGATTGTTAAAGTAACATCTCCTTGCTAATCTTTTTTATGTTGCCATTTACCTTTTTTCTTCATACCCTGCCTATTGCCTGAAGATATTTCTGCTTCTGTATGGTTGTGAAATTCCATAGATGGCTTGGAAATATACGTGATTGGTGCATCTCAAGGCAGCTTTGGTGGGGTCACCGCATTCCTGCATGGTATGTTACACTTGAAGATGATGCAGAGAAGGATTTTGGGGTCTACAATGACCACTGGGTAGTGGGTAGGAATGTGGAGGAGGCTTTAGCAGAGGCTAGCCAGAAATTTTCTGGGAAGAAGTTTGATATTAGCCAAGATCCAGACGTGTTGGACACCTGGTTTTCTTCTGGTTTATTTCCATTAGCTGCGTTGGGATGGCCTGACGATACTGGTGATTTAAGAGCATTTTATCCAACTTCGGTTCTTGAAACTGGGCATGATATTCTATTCTTTTGGGTCGCTCGGATGGTGATGTTAGGAATTCAATTGGGAGGTGATGTACCTTTCAGGAAGGTCTGTGGATACATCTCCTAAAATTCCATTTTAGAGCCTTCAGCTGCCAAAACCCATAGTGATGTATTGTTTTTCATGCAGGTTTTCCTGCATCCTATGGTTCGTGATGCACATGGCCGTAAGATGTCGAAATCTTTGGGAAATGTTATTGACCCACTTGAAGTAATAGATGGAATAAGCCTTGAAGGCCTTCACAAAAGGCTTGAGGAAGGTAACTTGGATAAAAAAGAGCTGGTTGTGGCAAAAGCAGGACAGAAGCAAGACTTCCCTAACGGTATAGCTGAATGCGGTACGGATGCTCTTCGATTTGCTCTTGTCTCCTATACAGCTCAGGTTCATGCTTCTGGTTGGCAATGTGTTTGTAACTTAGCTATAATCACTTGAATAATTTTATTTGCACTCCGTTTCTTTACTGATATCATTTCCTCATTTTCTATCTGCAGTCTGACAAAATAAATTTGGACATCCAACGAGTTGTTGGATATCGTCAGTGGTGTAACAAACTATGGAATGCTGTTCGATTTGCAATGAGCAAATTTGACTCTGATTACAGTGCTCCAATAAATTTCAATTTGGAAATTGTACCTTTTAGCTGCAAGTAGATACTCTCTGTCCTCAACAATGCTATTTCCGAAGCTGTGTCAGCTTTGGATTCATATGAGCTCTCAGATGCTGCCAGCACAGTCTATTCATGGTGGCAATATCAATTCTGTGACATTTTCATTGAGTCAATTAAACCTTACTTTGCTGGGGATGATATAGCATTTGCCTCCGAGAGTTCTGCACAGGACACTCTCTGGGTATGTTTGGATAGTGGACTGAGATTACTTCATCCGTTTATGCCATTTGTTACAGAAGAATTGTGGCAACGCCTTCCTCCTGCCAGGGGCCACACAAGGAAAGAGTCAATTATGACATCTGAATACCCATCAGCTGCAGAGGTAAGTTCAAAGAGCATCTTGCTATTGATAATGATGATGATAAAAGTGCGACTAACACCACAGTTTAGCTCAAGGTTTATTCAGTTCTCTGTGATGATCAATCTTCCTTTTCATTTTACAGGCCTGGAGAAATGAAGAGGTGGAATATGAAATGAACCTTGTTGAGTCCACCGTTAAATGTCTAAGGTTGTTGAGGGCTGAGGTGCTTGAGGAGCAAAAAAATAAAAGGTCTATGCGATGGAAATAATTTTTGTTTTGCTTGCAAGCTTAATTGACTGCATTCAAGACAAGTTGTCTGATTTTGTGTTTCCATGTATCAGTCTTGGTTGGTTGGTTTGTTTAGTGTTGCTATATCTGAGATGAGTCCATGTTTGGCCTTGCCACAGATATTCAGGAATCTATGAAAATGATGCTTTTGAGTTAATTTCTACAATCGCCCCAAGTGTTAGACAGTCTTAAAGTGGGATAAAGTAGTAGAGTGGAATGAACAAAATGCAAAAATTAGACAGTTGTAAAGTGCGATGAAGTAGTTCTTTTAATGGAACATGTGTATTTTGATACTGCAAGTTTTTTTTTTTTTTTACTCTATTTGAAAATAATTAGTATCCGTTTCATAGAAGCCCCTTTCTTTTCCCAGGCTACCAGCTTTTGCATTTTGCAAAATGAGAGCTGATGCTGAGATCCTCAGAAGCCGCAACTTTGAGATTTTAACTCTTGCGAAAAATTTGTCATCTATTCAGGTATGACGTCACATTTGCTATAAATGGGCTTTGTTTCCTTTTCCCTTGTGTGTTTGTGGTGTTTTTATTTTGTTTTTAATTCCTGCAACTGTTGGTTTTAACATGAGTAGTCCTTACATACATGCTATCATCTTCTGAACTTCAACAGATAGCTAGTAAGTCTAGTTACCTGTGGGTTTTAAATTGGTTTTGTGCTCATGGCACACAACTGTTATGCTGCCAACAACTTCCATTCTGAAGGTTCAGTTTTTTTGGTGTTATACTTACGAGTTACTGATGGAAAACCTTCTGCTTTAGCAGATATCAGAAGTGAATGCAAAGTACTCCTCTCTCCTCCCTTCAAACCTACACCTCCCCTTTCCTTCGTTCTCTTCTAGTATTTGTACGATTTGATATCTGGATTATCCAGGTGAGAAGCAATGGAGAAATTGGAATTACTTAATTGAGGCACAAAGGGTTCCAACTCAAGATTTCATAATCCCTTGTTCCTTCAAGTTAACTTGCACTAATTAACGAACCTAATTCTGACCAATCGTGCTTTTGCATGGTTTGAAGTTTAGTATAGTGCTTCTGTGGAACTTTCCAAATCCACCACCCCCCATAACAGGTTTATAACATCATTGTTTAACTTACTGCTGAGTTTCTGTTACTTCTTTCAATTGTTATCCACAACCCATGAGAATGTTGCATTTTATTTCTTATGTTTATACTTCTGTTCAAATCGAAGTCATCTTTTTTAAATAAATGCAGGTTCTGTTGAGTGGCAAAGATGCTCCTTCTACTGGATGTGCATTTGAGAATGTTAACGAGAGTCTTGCAGTCTATCTTAAGGCTGAAGGGAAAGTTAACGTAGAAGTAGAGCTTGTGAAGATGAGAAACAGATTGGATGAGATACAGAAGTAAGTCTAATTTTTTTAACGAAAAGTAAAGTGCTAATTTTTTCAACGAAAAGTAAAGTGTAAGCATAAATCATATTTTCATTGATTTTGTATTATATATTCTCAAAACAGACAACAGGAGAAATTGGAGAGGAAGATTAATGCATCAGGCTATAAGGAAAAAGTACCTCTTGAAATTCAGGACAAGGATGCTGAAAAGCTGACTAAACTATTTCAAGAAATGGAACTTTTCAAGAAAGAGAGTGAACGGTTGGAAGCTGAGAACTTGTAAATCGCTGTAATAATCTTATAGATGTTTTTGACTTCTGATTTATGGGTTTCTTCAGTTATCAAAAAGCTTTCAAATATCTTCAGCAGGCAATCTCTCAAATCTCAGATAAGGTGCAAATCACTTTGTGGTGATTTAAGTCTTCTGCTTTATCCGAATATTGTGTACATGTAGAAAAGTAGAGGGGAAAACTCAGCAGAATTACGCTACAAAAATCCTTTAATATGGAAATATCAAATTCTTCAAATATTTCCCTAGGTATTCTGGTGATTATTCTATTATCATGCGGAACAGGTTGATGACCAGGAACGAAAAATGCCATCTAAGGCCATGTCCTGAAATGCATGGCAAGCCAAGCCAGGAAAGATGCCAACTAATTTTGAAAATCCAGGACTTGCGCTCTAGAGCCTATATTCCATGACGAAAATGGGTTGATGTTGACGTTCTCCTTCACATTGATTTTGTCGCGAACTTCACCTACAATGTCATGTATGTTATTGTTTTCTTCTAAGATTTCATGCTGAAATGCACATTTCTAAAATGAAGATAAGAGTCTTGTAGGGCCCTGACAGGTTCCTATGTGACGTCCGTCAGAGGCAAACCCAGCCTTGTATTCCACTCGGAAATCAAACCCTATTAACTTGCTCACTCAATGCTGTTGAGGGGCACCTAATGCTGTCGAAGGGAAGTAGTAAGTCGTTGTTCTAGCAAGTACTTCAAATCATAGTTTTAAATAACTCTCGATATGTTATGTAACGGTCATTATATAACGGTTTCGAACATCCCGTTATCGTTATTTTAGTATTATAATAAGTCACGATCCGTGATAATGACCGTGATCATTTTTTCACCCGTCCGTTATTTAAAACTATGCTTCAAACTGTAATGATCAGTTTTAATGAGAAAAGGATGATGCCATAAGTATGGCAGCCAATGTTGTACAGCTTGTGTTAGGCCATTCAGTTCTCGTTTATAGGTGGGCAATGCGAGGTGTCGAGAAGCATATTTCCAACTACAGAAAGCAATGGGATGCCTTTGTTGTTGCAAAACCGCGCCAATACCTGCTTCGGATGCATCACACTCAATAACAAATTCAACGTTAAAATCAGGGAGGTGCAAGATAGGTGCTATCGAAAGAGCCTGCTTCGAATCTTCGAAGGCAGCCTCCATCATAGGATTCCACTAAAAGGAACGTTTCTTCAACATATTAGTCAAAGGAACGGCCAACAACTCATAATTTCATTATAGGATTCGATGCAAACCCTTGAATAACTGCGGCTTAGGCCATTTAGCAATTGTTTTGATCTTGTTAGACTCCTTCAGCATCAATAATATGGACTAGATAAACAACCCCAAAAGCCCTAAATGAGCAGTTGGACCTCTTTAGAAAGAATTTATGGAGACGCAGTAATTCAAAAACAATACGTACATGTTGCATATGCTCCACCAAGTATGATTGTAAATAAGAATGTCATTAAAAAAAAAAACCAACACAAATTTACGCAAGTAGGCTTGAAATACCTCATTCATCAACGCTTGAAACGTAGATGGTACATTGGTAAAGCCAAAAGACATGATCGAGATGGTATGTTGGTCAAGCCAAAAGACATGATCGAGAACTCAAAGTGGCCATGGTGTGCATAGAAAGCCATCGTCTCAATATCTGTCGTCTCCATACGCACTTGATGATAGCCTCATCGCAAATCCAGCTTAGTGAAATACTTGGCCCCATGGACTTCATCTAGCAATTCATCTACCACTGGAATGGGGAACTTATCTTTTACTATCTTAGCATTTAACTTGTGATAATCCACATAAAATTGCCACAAACCATCATGTTTGCGAACCGACAATACTGGAAAAGAAAATGGAGACCTACTGAGTTGAATTATTCCTTGTTGAAGCATGGCTGTGCATTGAGTCTTAATTTCATCCTTCTGAAGGTGGGGATAACGATATGGGCGCACCACAACCAGTTTAGAACCTGAAAGTAAGGTGATGCTGATCAGAAGCCCAAGAAAGGTGAAGTCCTATAGGATCTCGAAAAACATTCGAAAATTTAGCTAACAATTTATCAAGTCATCATGTTAATGTCCTCTCCAGACAGTATATGGAAAGTTGAGTTGCGTAGAACTACCACGCCAGACCAGGTTACATGCCGCCCAGTCAAATTGAAACTCATCGTTAGGGACCCAAAATCCCACAAGATCGGGCCTAGAATTCACAACCATCTCACCCCAACATGACTTTAAAGCCCCTCAATGGTATGACATATAAGTCAGTAGAAAAAGAACAAGCATCCATTTGTAAGTCTACTGTTTCGCAATTACTTGAGCCTGGATCGGTAGAGGCCTGAAGTCTTGGTTTCAGAGCTAATGGTAGGTTAGGCTGACGTGCAGCTGAGTCGCTGATAAAATTATGGGTACTCCCTGAAACCACAAGACCCAACATAACCTCTCCTGCCACCAAAATTTGAAGCTGCATGGTTTGCGAATTTCGATTTCCTATGATGGAATGAAAAGAAATTTTGGGATCTACCCAATGCCGCACCTCCACTTCCTCATCAGAATCATCCACCATCAAACATAAAATACATTTATAGTGATGACCAATAGAGTAAGTCTCATCACAATTGTAACATGATCCTTTGGCTCTTCTTTCTACCATCTCTCCCTTGTATAATTTTGTAAGAAAAGGGATTGTGGAACTACCTGTGCGAGCTATTCTAGGTGCATTATTCTCTATCGATTTCTTGTGATAACCTATCCTAAAAATAAGGTTTAAGTTAATAAATTATATATATATATTTTTGGCATTAAGAAAAATAATAGTTAATTAGAGCTTAATGGCAATTTTAGTATAAAATGACTATATATATATATTTTAAACCCAAACCAATAGAAGAGAAAAGGAAGGAACATGAATAAGACAAAAAAAAAAAAAAAAAAAAATTGGATAGCTTTTTAATAAAAAAACAGCACAACAATTTGGTTTCTCATTCTCCTTCCCTCCTCCTCCCTTTCTAATCCAAAAACTCTCTCTACTTTCTCTCATTTCCCTCCAATTCTATGCTAAAATCTTGCCCAAATAACCTAGAAAACATGAAAACAAGATGATTAAAGTGATTAAGTTAGATTAAAGTTTGGGAGGTTTAGAGGAATTGAAGATTAAAATTGGGGTTAAAGATCCATTTGTCAAAGGTGAGAATTTTTGTCATTTAGCTTTAAAATTAAGATGTGTATATAAGTTTATTGATGATTTTGAAGTTGTATTGTATTGAGTTTGTTATTGGAACAAAAGCTGAGTTAGTTTAGGGTTAGAATTTGAATTGAATTTGAAAATTTGATTATTTAATATTTAATTATGCTAATTGATGCTTGAAATGAGATAATATAATGTGAAATTGATTATTGAATTATAAGTTTAAGAAATTCTCAAGTTGATTGAGATGATGAATTATAGAGGTAAGATGTGAGAAAATTGAATTGAAAATTAATGATGGATTATAGAGATAAGTTGTGCAAAAGTTGAATTGAAAATTAATGATAGATTGTAGAGATAAGTTGCGTGAAAATTGAAGATGAATTGTAGATATAAGTTGTGTGAAAATTGAATTAAAAATTAATGATGAATTGTAGAGATAAATTGTGTAAACATTTAATTAGAAATTGATGATGGATTGTAAAGATAAATTGTGTAAAAATTGAATATAAATTTGATGATGGATAATTGGTTGTAATAAAGTATAAATTAGGTTGTTAGATAAAGACTGTAGAATGACCTTAGGATATAGTTGTCGGATAATTGTTTAGAATTGGATAAGAGAGTAAGAATTTAGTTAAAAATCCTCGATTTGAATCTTTTTGATCAATTCCATTCTTGTAATTTGTCTTGTATTTCAATTTCTAGAATAATTCATCGGTTTTTGAATTATTCTTTGATATGTGATATTAATGATTTTTCAATCATTTTGGATCATTAGATTCTTTAGACCGACGACTCCATCTCAACAACCTTGATTTCATTAGATCATTTGATTTTACTCGTGAGTAAATAGTATATAGCATATCATATTCTTAATTTTCTTTGATATTTTCGTGATGCATCATTGTTTTAAATATGTTAAAATCATATCTATTAGAACTTAGCTAAGAACGGACGCCTTATGTATTTAAAATGATTTGACATCAAAGATAATTTGATATGATTCTAAAAAGGGTTTGATTAAGAGTTTTGAAAAAGTGTTTTACTTAAGTTTGATTTTAATGCTATGGATTTAATTACTAGTTTGATTGAGATTCTGAAATTTGATTTATTCGTATAATTTTAGTACGTATTTGACTTATAATTTTGAATATGAATTTATATTTAAACTTAGATTATGTGTATGAGATTTGATATTTAATTGCATTACTAAGTTTGATTTTGAACATAAATTATGTTTGAATATATTGGTTTTGGATTTTTGGAATATATGTGAGATTATTTGATTTTTGATTTGATTGAGTTTCTTGGAGTACCTAGCTACAAGAGGCTTAACTTGTGAGATCACCGATACAAAAATACTCTAGCTAGTAGGAGAGGTCTAGTGCTAGCCCATGTCACTACAAGAATTTCACTAAATAGCGACAAATTTTTCCTTTGCTATTTGGCAAAAATCTGTTACTATATTCAATTAGAGACAATAAGTATTCTGTCACTAAGATGGTGGTTGCTATTTTTTTAGTGATTGAATTTTTGCTCCCGTCGCTAATCGTTGATCGATATTTCGTCGCCAAATAGTTAAATTTCCACCACTAAATCAATCTAAATCAATCGTTCATGATGTCTCATATCCGTCACCAACCATCACTATTTCCACTTACATCCATTGCTAAATATAAATGAAATGAACTTTTGCTAATTTATAGTCGCTAATATCCTTGTTATTCTATCGCTAAATCCATCACTATTTAACGAGTTGTATATGTATTCGTAACTAATTACTCTCTCTATTCCGTCAT